TTTATAATATAGTATAGATATAGATTAAACTGTCATAAAAAAGTAAATAAAATATATAAAAAACTATTAAACTCTCCTCGTAGTTTTTGTAAAAACTTCACTTTATAAAAATGAATATAATCCAATCGAGCATATGAACAGGACGAAAAAAGCATCGAATCACTACTTTTCAGCTCCTAAATTCTGGATTTATGCAGAAAAAATGGGTAGATCTGTTCAAGAAGCCATATCAATTTTGCATCGTGATTCGATACGAGATATAGAAACGTAGAGGACAAGGAAACATACGGATCAATTAGCGTTAGATTGCCATGAAACTGCAGCGATTTAGCAATGTAGGAGCCAGCAACACCGCCACCGATAACCACCACTTTCCTCCGCCCTTGGCTACCTTCAACCAGTGGATTCTCCATCAAAAGAACGACTCGATTGTTCTTCCGGCTGCAATTTTAGGATACAATTTACTAGAGAAATCTGGATCGTGCAAGAAATAGGGTTTGAATTTGGATGAAGGCATTAAGTGGGAGGAAGGATCGAAGAAGGACATCATTCCATTCTTCAGAAGTTTGACTCGGTCTCTCATGGCTTCTCAATGTGAAAAAAAATCCCACGACTCAATCCAGTTGTCGACAACCGTTTGCTAATTGCTATGCATCAATTAAGTTGTTTTTTTTAAAGGAAAACATTGAACAAATTAATTGTTGGCAAAGGAAACATTCTTATCATCAAAATACATTGTTCGAAAGAAAGCGTGTTTTTTTTGGCTGGTAATATCAATTGGGTAAGAGTCTGTCTTTAACTTATTAGATAAGATTTTCCGTTTAATTTCAAAACCTTTATTTTGGTATCTCATATGACGATGAGGATTTTTATATAAAATAGGAATCTAACCAAAATATATTGTATTTTCATATATTCTTGGATGTTAACTACTAATTTCTTTCTCACACACATCAACATCAAAACTTATTTTTTTTTATTTTTTAATGCATAACTAGTTTTGTGCACCGTGCGTTGCGCGGTGATGATAATTTTTTTAGAAAAAAAAACGAAACTAATATTGAAATATTACAATGTCAGTTCATGCATATTTTATTTTATTAGAGTTATAGAATATAAATATAATGATTAATTTATCAACTTTCATATTTTTTTTTGTTCATGTTGTTATCCTCACAATTGTTGATATGTTACTAAAACTTTAAACCATCATTAAATAGATCTCTTCAAAATATTAAACATGACAGTTTTTTTTTATTTGCCGAATATATAAAAAAAATTAAAATTTTCTCTTTTTCATACAAAGTCTTTAATCCCACCGCCTGCATAGCAAAATCAGTTTATACCCAATAAAAAACATCATTTTTTCATTATGTATTTTAAATATGATATTATGTAAATAAATAAAAACTTTAAATAATTTTAAGCATAATAAAACAAAGAACATATATCATATAATATACATAATTTAATAAAAGCAAACAAATACACATACAAAAACCATATGGATATCACGTTTTATTTGTTTTCAAATAAATGAATACACAAACATCATTTTTAAGTGTTCTTTTAAATAACAGACAGTCACATGATATATACTGGTTTATTAATAACCACAATACATAGAATAGCATAAAAAATACAAATTGAGAAACTCTAAATATTAAAAGATGGAGAAGAAAATTTATAATAACAAAACTCCACATAGATCACACTTAAGCATAATCTGACTGTTGTAAAAAAATTTGAAGAAATACAAAATATTAATAAAACAAAATTACGCAAAATAAAAAGACAAATAAAAAGAACACTCACACAACATAGATAACTTTCAAAAATAAGGATGATAAAGAACCATAGTCAAAAAAATATAATAGAGAACAAATCTTTGAACAAAACATTCGTCAATAACATATAACCACACAACTCATAAATTAAGATGTAATATTTGTTACCCGGAAAAGTTTATAGAGGAATAACATTAGGTATGGACAATAAAAACATTTTGCATAACAAAAAATACAATATATATTGCATAGAAAAACAAATGTAATAATAATTAACAAAATATAATAACATGGAAAAAACACTCATCAACAACAAATAACACATACAAATCATGAACATAAAATGTAACAATTCTTACATGAATTTTATGGAGGAAGAACAACGATATCAACGATAAAAAAATCTTCAAAAAAAAAAACACAACACATCAATAACAACAAATAGCTTAAATAAAAACATAAAATAAACCATAAAAAATGTAGCTTCTATCTTGATTTAGACATTCGATTGTATAGTTTGCAATATGAAGGAAGAATTAGTAAAACAAAAGAAAAAACGTTAAATGAGATATAATATATCGATGCGATAAAAAAAGGGAAGAGGAAAAAACGTTAAATGAGATATAATCTTTTGGAAATATTTGTTTTCATGTTGGAGAAAATAATGAAATCCATATTTTTCATTCACGGGTAAAAAAATATTTAATTATTTAACATTTCATAAATTCAAAATAATGAGAAAATTTGATTTAAAAATCATCTTGTGACAATGTACCACACTATTTATAGTAAGTTTATCTTAATTAGTAGATAAAAAGATAAATTAGTATAATGAATATCCCTATGAACTTATGTATGTAAAAGTTAAAGCTAATTAAGTTGGAAGTGATAAAAGAAGTCTTCTTATAATGAAATACATATCTATCATTTAGGGGTAGATTAGTATAACTTATTTAATATTATAAAAACATTAACAAATTATGGAGAAGCACATGGAAGTGTTTAGAGGTTTCATCTCCAAGAATAAAAAGAAAAAGGTTGGAGGTTAAGCTTTTTTAAATTACCAAAACAACCTTATTTTAATGAATTTCATGTTTTAAAAATAAGGATGGAAAAATCTTTTACATATCAAATATTTTCAAAAAATTAAAAATCTAGGAAAAAAGAAAAATAAGTTTATAATAAAGATAAGTTTATAATATTTAGAGAAAGACACCTATTGCATTTGGTTTCTCTATTAATATATATATATATATATATATATGTGTGTGTGTGTGTGTGTGTGTGTGTGTATTGATGATTATCAATCACGTATAAATAACCATTGTCAACGAAGTTTAAATTCGTTTTTTTTATAATATCTTGTAATCATAAAATATCAAAACTTTATTCGAATTTATATGATCCAATCGTAAACACAATCATGTCCTACGATAACAACAAATCCAACAATATTGAAAAGAAGAAATATGTAATAACAAATCATATTTTCTAAATAATATAATTTTTACATACCTTTTTAAAATCTTTTAAGTTTTCTTCAACTCTTATGTCTTCATTACTCACCAAAGGATTTCTGTCAATTGAAAAAATCTTGAAGTAGTCAAAATTTAAGGTAATTATCAATCACGTATAAATAGTTATTGTTAATGAAGTTTAAATTCGAAATTTTTTTATCATATCCTGTGATTACAAAATTCTATTCAAATTTATATGATCTAATCGTAAACACAATCATATCTTATGATAACAACAAATCCAACAATATTGAAAAAAAAAATGTAATAACAAATCACATTTTTAATGAATATAATTTTTATATACCTTTTAAAATATTTGAATTCTTCTTCAAGTCTCGCCTTTTTCATCCCTTACCAAAGGAATTTCTAGGAAAACTTTGAAAAACAAATTTCATTAAGAAAGTAAATGGAATAGCAAATCAAGAGTTGAAGATTAAAACTTGGTTATACAAAATTAAAAAAACATTCACATTAATTATGCGCTATACATTTTTCATAGAGAGGCAGAAAAGTCTTTTACGTATTCAACATTTAAAAAAATCAAAAAATTGAGAAAAAATATAGGAGAAGTTCTAAGCATTAGAAGGTGTCACCTCATTGTGTTTGGTTTCTTCTTTAATATATACTAGAATGGTACTCGCGCAATGCAGCGAGATACATCTTGATTTTAATGTTTCGTTTTATATTATCAATATTATGATGTTATGTGGTTCTGAAAAAAAAATGTTTATATTTTTGAATTAAATATAAATTTGAAGATATCATAAAATTTTGAAAAAAAAATAAACGATATTAGTATTATATTAACTATTTAAAAGTTCTCGTTTTTGTGTAATTTCTTTGATTCAAATTTTTATTATAATTTAATTAAAATTTAAAAAAGAATTAATTTATATTTGGTTTAATAATAAATTTTTTTATAAATATAATAATTAATTATTTTGTTAGGACTCAATAATTATCCTAATATATTTTAAAATGAGATGTTTATCCTTCTATTTGATTATATTTATCCTCAGTTAGTTACACGAATTCAAACATTGAGCTTTAATAAGTTGTACTTACGCACAATTTACTTGTAATCTTGAATTTTAAGTAATATGCATCAATAAACAGTACTTCATGCATAAAAAACGGTTTTTAAGAGTTTTCGTCAAATGTTTATAATATAGAATAGATATAGATTTAACGTAATTATCAATCACGTATAAATAGTTATTGTTAATGAAGTTTAAATTCGAAACTTTTTTATCATATCATGTGATTACAAAATATCAAAATTTTATACGAATTTATATGATGTAATCGTAAACACAATCATATCCTATGATAACAATAAATCCAACAATATTGAAAAAGAAATATGTTGTAACGCCCCAACCCACATATTGCATGTAACACATATTTCATACAAAGGAAATACATAATATCATTCCATTCGGATCCCTTAGTACAAGAATCTAACATGACCAATTACAAGGTCCAAAAATTCAAAATACATTTCTTGTACTAATTAATCAAAACAGATCTTCAAGCAGAAGCGCATAAAGGAACATATTAAACTTTTCCCTTCCCCTTACTGTCCGAACCTCCTGCAACACATAATTTAAATCACAAAACGAGGGTTAGACCGAAAGGTCTAGTGAGATACCCTATTTATGTTATTGCATGGTGAAAAATCACCAAAACCTTTAGGGAAAATATCATTTCATATATATAACAAATATAGAAACGTAATACCAGATCTTTTCCATTATCAAGCAAAGCGTTCCGCTTATTCAAATCTCAAAAACTCCGAACCAAACAGGTTCCACATAATGTCATTTTAAACCTTTTTCTTAACCAAACAAGGTTATATAAAACTTCAGGCCAAACCTGACATTTTCTCCTCAATAACATCCAAACTATGATTTCCAATAAGAACCTTGATCCTAAATCTTTAAGTCACAAAGAAATAAAGACTCCGGA